AAGTTTTGCCCATATCTCAGCGTTCTTGTGATAACATCGAAGCGCGAACTGCGACGTTTAACAGCAGTTATCATACTAAGAACAAATTCTTCAATTTATTATTTTATACATGATAAATCGATGAGCGGACACAAACAAGATGGTAGATTCACATTTTGGTAGACTCCGAGGGATGGGACCGCCGCATCTGAGTGATGAATAGAGGCCTGCCATTCTGGAAAAGTTGCAACTGTGAGAAAGCGACAATAGAATCTACTGGATGTATGGAAGGCTACCTTGTATTCGGATTTCATTTCTGGTTGGAGAGAAATTGAAAGGTGTTTTTGTGGATTGTCGAGCGTCGCTGGTTCCCATGTGAATGGCTCATTACATAATGGGCTTAGAGATGAGCTCGGGTCTTCGGCTACTCCATTCGGATCCCTACAGAAAATATGGCTATTGATCACAGTCTCTGTCAAAAACCTGATGAAAAATACTATGCTGAAAAAAAACTAAGTTGTCGCGAAAATTACAGCGAGACACATTTAATTACAGAGCCATCGCCCAAGATCACGGTCACTGAAGAAAGCATTACCCGTATTTAGCGAAATTCGTCCACATTCTAGTTGTTAGTTCCAACATTTTTTTATCGTCGTCGTTGAACTCGTAGCTCCAAATGATGCCCACAGCAAAAATATAGGCCAGCTCGGTACAGTGTGTTGCATCTACAAAACAAATTTTGAAACAGAAACAAAGCTTGCCACTAGAGAGAATTTGTGAAGAAGTACCACCTGCTCACTGCTAATCTACTGTTCATAAAAGGATAAAGGATAAAGTCTTCGCCGTTGATCAATCCCTTGGGATGCGGCACGCATTCTACTTCCATTCAGAATCGTAGTGGCTTATTGAATGCGATGTGGCCTATACAATGACTTGCGGTGGCCAGCCGATGTACAAGTCAGTGTTTTATCCTCCCAGACGAATCTGGTACCAAGGGTAGAAGGCTTGGTTGGCCTGGGCGGGTGTCGACCCGGGATTCGAACCCGGCGCCGCGCGAGTGGTAAGCGCGCCACTTGTCACTACACCACCTCCGCCCTATCTATTGTTCATATTCATCTTTAACACCTACTGTGACTTGCTCAGGCTTTTAGATGGAAGAATTACACTATCTTTACAGTTAACCAGCCGGCCCGCCTAAACTCGCTCATACAGCCGGGTTGCGGGCAGTCGCGCCGCGTAAGCTTCTTTTCGCCACGCTTCGGGCTACTTCAGTAATACCCAACTTCCCCTTTTACTTCTTTCAAATAAATGGACAACGTTCCTTAGTCATGAGCATATACCTGCATCGGTAAGGAGCGTTGATCCCTGTTCTTCACAAAGAGTTTACCGTTTACGTTTTATTAGCCGTTGGCTGGGCAAAGTTCTGTCACTATGTCCGAAGCTCAAATTACCCATCACCAAGAGTGGTAACGGTAATGTAAGCTCTTATACAACAAGGAGTGGTCTCTCTGTTAGTACCACTCGCTTGCCTCTTGCTCCTTCTTCTGCAATATGCACAAGGATTTTATCCGCTACCATCAGCCCCGACCCATCCAACAACTTCCACAAACTATTTCACCCACCACCCTGACGCCAGCGTGTTAGCTGCAGATGCCAAATTGATGGAGCTGAATAAGCACGATGCCCCAATCATCGAGCAACCTTACCACGACAGTGACGCTTCAAGGCGGGAGCCTAGGGAGCCTACAGTTTTGATGACGAAGTGAGGTTTGGGTTACCTGCAACCTCAGCTTGAGGGAGCGGTATGGGTCGTGCCGAAACTGCTGGATGGCAAAGACTTGCGTTCCTTGGTCAAGGCGTACGCAAAGCAGCTACGAGATCTAAGGCGTATCGTGGATCAGAGGGAAAAATTTGTCCGCACAGCCGGCCCTCACCAAGATAGTGCAACGTACTTGGTCCAAAAAAGTTCGAGCCGTACCTCATGCAATGGAGCTTGATCTCTCTCCCTTGCAATTGTGTAGCACAGACATCGCCCCTTCTAATAGCAAGTTGCCTTCCGTAATCGATCGTTATGCGGACGAGAAAACCTCCATAACCCAAGTTCAAGTCGAGGTTGAGATGGTGTCCAACTTTGCGTCGTGTCTCCCTGCATAGTGAAGCAATGGCATCCATGAGGTGCTCAAACACTGGCAAGGACCCCGCAGTAACATTGCTTACAATTTTGATCTTACACTCCTCTCTATCAAAAAGAAAAGCCTAGTTTTGAAAATGTGCACAGAGAACTTTCCCGCCAACCCTAATATATAGTGTGATATACGCTCCCTCCTAACAGCTAAGTAGGCGCCGCTCCAAAAACCTATGCAACTACTATTTTCAAACTGAAACACTAGTTGTTCGGTGACGACCGCCCTACCCCTCACGACAGCAGCTTTGTGAGCAAAAACTGGGAGTTTTCCGGAGGACTGAAAATATTACTAGGGAGTCTGAATAAACATCGGGAGCATTGCGAGCATGAGGTAGAGATGGGAAGTTGACCGGAGGAAAGAATCTTGGGTGGCTGTGCGACACCACCATTTGTCTCTCCCCGGTGCTAAAGTCTGCCCCTCACTGAATATCATTCTCAACAACTCGACCCAATTTAGGAAAAAGGATTCACTTCTTTTGTCATCGTGCAGGCTCTGCCTATAACAATATCATTAGGCGCTATGGCACTCCTAAAACATTGGCTCGGGTCAAACAACTTATTACCAACAAAAACACTCCTACAAACAACTAATCTCCAGTTCATTCTCCAATTCAGTTTTTTCTACTTTATTCGCTTATGAAGCTCCGTTTTACTTGATTCGCTTGCTATAACTTCTTTGGTTCTTTTTTGACATACATTTTTATGACTCATATTTTGCAGGCTTCTTGTTTAGAAAGTTTTAAGCTCATCGGGTTCATATTGTTCATTTTCTCCCTGCACATGATGCTTTGCTCATGTATTAAATCAATCAATCACTTCGATCTACCGTTCGGTCGGAGAGTGCCCACCACTCTGAGGCTTTCTATCGAGCGCTAACAACTCTGTGTACAGCAAGGAACGTTTCCCGTCTTCCCCTGAACCCAATACACGTTAGTCCGGCGTCAGAACGGTGGGTATTTTACGCTGTAGGCGGAGCGTGCCCCGAGGTGGGTGGAGCCAAATTAAAAAATTCGCAAAACGGTTCCAGAGCACTCCAGACACCGGAAAAAGTAGTTGAGATCAGCGAGGGGTTATCAGTTGAGAAGCGCGAGGCATACGTTGTGGGCGGAGCGTGCGTCGAGGGGAGCGGGCCAGTGTTAGAAATTCCTCAAACGGTTCCAGAGCGCAGGTATGATGCTATAGGTGAAATAATGTTGATCATCCGTTCAGATAAAAGAAAAGCCGGATACTAGGCGGGTATTGAAATGTGTGGAAGAAGGTAAGCGCGGTGGAGCCGCGCCCGCCCGGCGAAGCCGTGCTGTATCTCAGAAGGAGGCGCGCCGGCGTCAGCTGCGAAGCCGGCTGGTAGCTTAGAATAAGAATGTCCCAAGTGAAAATGAGCTTCGTCCTTCCAGTATCAAAAAGCTTTAATTCTTAAGCGTAGCGCGGCTAATGCCCAGTTTAAATGACTCCACTTCTCCATGGAAGCGTGCGTCTCTATTCCAAAATTAATTAACATTTCGTTTTGGACACCAGTGGTAAGGTTCCTTGGTGTTACATCGAGCTGAAGGTGATCTATTGGTTTGGATGGACCTTCATCATCGCTCGATCTATCTTGGACTGCAAGTGGTCTTTTGGTTGGATTGACCTGTCTCACATCCTGATTGTTCCTTCTCTTCTTGACTTGTACAATCTGTGTTTTCTTCTGCTCTTGAGTTCGAATCCTTTCTTATTTTAAGAGTTCATTTTTCACAGCTTCCTTGTCAGGACCCGCATTCCTCATATAGTAATCATTTTTATGTCAGTCTGTCAGCCTTGCTCTTTCGTTTGATTCCTTTTCTGTGTTGCACGTTTTCTCACCCCCTCCCCAACTCAGACTAGTTCTTGCGAGAACGGGAGTTGGGTCGCAGTGGTTGGCAGACCTACTAAAATTTTGTCGGGGTTTGACTAAGCGCTCGTTTTTGAATCAACAGTTTGAATAAGCGCTCGTTTTTCTAACCAACAGAGTCAGGCGGACGCTGTCCCTCTGAACTGCTCAACGGCCCCTTCCTAACGCAGCACCGCCTCCCCCTTTACTCTGTGTTTTAAGATGTTGTAGTTATCAAAAAAAATGTTCCATTCCCTTGCCTCAGAATCTGGTTCTGTTTGTCAATTGATTGCCTGACAACTGAAAAGAGCCAGAACTTCAAGGGCTTGCCATTCATAGCATCCTGCGAGAGAAATGTGCACCCACTACGTACAAGTGCCTCATCGAGAACAGCGCTTTCGCCGTCTGATCTCTCTTCTAAGCATTCGGTGTTTGTTCTTCGCATGCTCACACGTTGCTCGAAATGAAATGCAAAAGGAAGGTTTCATCTTGGGTACTTTGGTTCATACTTCGTTTGTTCCTCGCTAAGCAGCTATAGGTTTGTCACCATTGCTCACGACCTGCTACAGAAGAATGAGCCTCTCACAGAAATGTGGAGCGAAACAGTCAAGTAAACTTCCAATTCTACACACTGAATTTTATGTAGCATCTTTGAAGAATGCAGCGCTATGTTAAGCTCAACTTATGGTTGGACTTTGATCCGACCGCATAAGGCGTAGAGCACGTCACGTTCAAATTTAAACGTTCAAATTTAAAACGGTAATATATGGACTGTGATATATGGAAAATATGAACTGGATCGGTAATAAAATGAACACACCTTTGAAAGGCCATCGCAGTGATAGTGGTCCCCAGCTTCTAGGGT